CGGGGCAGGCGGGAATCGAACTCATGCGGAAGTGGCTTTAGCTTCTCAGTGCACTGCTTTAACCTGCTGCGCCACCAGGGAGGGCCCGAGACCTAACTTTTAAGTACATCAGTTCAGTTCCTGTAGTTAGCTGAGAGCTCTAAGGGAAAATATTTTTCTCACTCAGTCTTCAGTAACAAAATGACAAACAGAAAAGCAAGTTTTAAAATGAAGCAGTCATAACTAATCAAGGACAAATCACAATGAAGGATGGAATACAGTACATTATTTGGGGCAGAACTAAAGATGGTCTATGGGGGACAGGTAAGGAAGGGCAGAAGAGGCACCCTTCAAATCCTCACCTGAACTTCTATCCTCTACCAAGAAAATTTTCTAAAGCATAAAGTCATAATCAGTTATACTGATTTTTAAAAACAGAAGAGTTATTAGCCTTTTCTAGGAACTCAAAATTTCCCCAAACTAGCTTCTTGTAAATCTGCAGAAACAAAAAACATCAAGCAACAGCAGTTATCCACAGAATCTAAGTTTTCATTCTTGATGGGGAAGTGGGGGTTTTCTGAAACTGCCAAGCTCCTAGCAGGTACACACTGATCTTTGAAAACCATTCACCATTCCTCCACCCCTCTAAACAAACCCGCCTTTCAGAGCAGCTCTGAAAGGGCAGCTGAAGGTCCAGAGAAGGGAACAACTGTCTGACCAGGTCCCTCAAGGATCACTCACCAAAGTCAGCCCTCAAAAGACACCACCTGAATTCTCTCATCTCAAGGCACCATTGCTTTCAACTATCTGTACACTTCCCAGCTCACCACTTAATTTATTTGTAAAATGCAAACTGTTCCCTCCACAACAAAGCAAAGGGTCCTCACCCAGGATATCAGGTGACTACTCTTACCTCTGCCAGGGCAGCCCATAAGGCCCTGCCTGGATCGACAGGCGACCACCTCCACAGTGAGAGATGATAAGAGTGTGGCAGGCAAGGGGGCCTGCGTTTTGCTCTGCATGGAGAGAAAGCGCTGTAAAGAGAGAAAAAATGGTGTGAGCGTTTCTCCTACTTCAAAAGGCTAACAGGCGGAAACTGAGTCAGAAACTGGTGCTAACAAAAACAACCCCCCAAAAAACCCAACTGGAGAACAGCAAGCCTTTTAAAATAATCACCAATTCTCAGGATAAATCCATCTGCGCGAGTTTCCTAAACTCGCGGGTGACGGATCTAGAAGAAGCAGGAAGAAGAGAGGGAGAAGCTTGAGGGCTCCGGAGCCCCCAGCCTAGCCAAGGGTCGGCCCCAAGGCGAAGCCCAAGTCATTTATTACCCAGCTCTGCTTCTTTATCAGTTAGGCTGCGATAATAAAGCCTCTTCGCAAGGCAATAGTGAGGATGTAAAAAAAATTAAGCCGCGGGAACCCAGGAGTCCATAGAAACTAGCTGTTCGCTCGCAATCTGTCCACGCCCTCAGCCAACTCCTCGGATTTCTAAGCTCCTACTCACTGCGCGGAGCAGGGAGAAAGAAACCTGAAAGTATCACCAAGGAGTCAGGGCTCGGGTTCCACTGATGGGACCCAACAGGAGGGTCGAGGGAGAGGTCCCCGAGCCCTCCAGCCCTTCACAGTGCCCCCTCCTGGGCACTCGAGGAGCCCTCCCAGGGCGCGGCTGCACCCTTCAGCCCCAGCTCCGTGCCACGCTCCCCATCAGAGCCCACCTCGTCCTGGGCAAAAGGACCCGGCTGACAGCCGACTCCTACCTCCTCACCCTCCTTTCCCCCTTCCCCATCGGGGGCGGCCAGGCTAGAGAGCCAGAGAAAATTGGCCACCTGGAGCGACGCTTCTGACGGCGCTCAGGAGGTGACTTACGCTGGCTGCGGTGCTCCTCGCAGGCAGAGCGTTCAGCCGGAGGGAGGCGAAAGGCTTGGCGCGCAGAGCGGCAGCCTGGGCATTGAGGGGTGTCCCGCCCACTCTGCACCCGGCCTGCCACGCCCCTGGGCCCACCCCTCTAGGTCCCCGCCCAGCATTGCGGTCTCACCCCACAGCTTGGGCTTGGGGCTTGCCGCACGTGGCCATTGGTGAGGTCGGGGCGCCCTCTGGGTCCTACCTTGGTCTGGGGCTCAGAGAGCCGGCATCTATGTACTTCATCTCTAGGAATTTTTGACTATTTTGACTATTTCCTGGGAGGCAGGAAATGGGAGAAGCGCTGTTTATTTTGATTTTTAAAATGAAAATATGTTTTATAACAAGAAGAAAGAATTTAGTGCCAAGTTTCTTTATATTATGAAAAAACAGGGTAAGTAGAGTAATTTTAAAATACAGGAGTTGTTGTCCTGGTGGAAAAATTGCTTCTTTTCTGCTTATGCTTCCAAAACAACTTTTGGAATGGGCAGGAGTGCAGGTGTTTCTGGACCATGATTTGAGAACCCTGTAGGAGACCTGGTCTCCTGATCCCCAAAACTGATGATGAGATGCTAGACTTTTGCTGTAGTAACCAATTACAGACAACAAAGCCTGTCAACATTAATTAACCCTTTTCTCTACTTGCCACATCTTCTTCTTTTCATTTTCCCATAAAAGTCCACCTTTTAACTCTCTGAGGCACATTTTAGTTTACTGCTTGAAACTGTATACCCCACACTGCAATTCCATAATCAAATAAACACTTGGTTGCCGCTCATTTCAGTTTTTTTATATTATTTTTATGATAGCAGTATCATGTAAAGTTTAGAGATGGCCATGAAAGGTGTAGTTCCCCCCCCCCCC